GGGGCTGCGGGCGGGCGATGCCGGAGGGCCCTGCCCGCCTCGGATGACGCCCATGCTGAGGTTTTCCGGGCAAACCAGATCTTAAGAAGAAAAAAAAGTGGTTCCCGCCCCCCCAACCCCAAAGTCAGCCCATCTTAGGCACAGCCCGCGGCCGGAGCCGCCGTCGGGGTGGGGGGCCGGGGCCGGGGCGGGGGCAGCGGGCAGACGGACGCGCCGGACTCCACAGCGCTTCGGGAAACCACACTCGGCCACACCAGCCACTGTGGGCCCAGGGGACCAGGAGAAAGAGAAGAAAAAGGTCCCGTCTGCGGCCAGAGGCCGCACCTAGCTAGGCTCAGCCTGGCTCACACCCCAGATTCTGGTGGGTTGGGGTGAGGCAACCCAAGAGCGAGCGCCCAGTCCGCCCCCACCCAGAGAGACCCTCCTGCCCACCTCGGCACAGCGCTATCAGGAGGCGCCCCAGCCCCCTACGGCCTCCGAGGAGCAATCCAGCCTCGGAGCGTTAACTATGGTGATTATCTTTGACATTATTAACATTATTATTATTTCTACCTCCCACCTTCTCCAGCAGCGCTGCGGTCGGTTCTGCTCCCGAGGCCACCAGAATGGCCTCAAGGACAGAAAAAAAAACCTGGTTCTGCGAAGTTAGGGAAGGAAGAGGCTGAGGGTGGCGGGAGTGAGTGGGGGAGGGGTGTTCAGCTCCGCCTTCCCTCTCTCCCTCCAGGTTCAACTGAGAGGTGAGGGGACGCCCCCCTCCAACGCATAACCGGGGGTCCCAGGGCACGTGGGCTGGCGGACCATCTGGCCAGTCACATTTCTTGGGGATTGGGCCTGAAGGACCCAACTTCGAGTAGCCCCCCCCCCCACCCTAGGTGCAGGCCTCAGGAGTCCAGCCCAGACAGGCCAGGAAACCTCCAAAGCCAAGTGAGGACAAGCGCCCCCGTTGGAGGGGCGCTGGAGGTAGTCAGAGGTGCTGGGGGGAAGCGGAGAGGTGAGGGGGCCATCTCTCGCTGGATGTTCCAGCCAGCACCCTTAATTTCTGCAACTGGGGTTGACCTCCCCCAGTTGTTGGCTGGGGCTACCGAAAGAAGTGAGTATGTGTGGGTACACGCCAGGTGAGGGGGCCCCCGCTGCGGCCAGGCGGCTGCGCCGAACCTCATCCATCCAAATGGCTGGGCAAGCAGGACGCTGGGCGGACACACACGCTGGGCCAGAGATGAAGCGAGGTGTCACCTCTTCAGAAGTTGAACCCTTCGGAACAAAAGGAAAACGTGAGAGGGTGACAAAGCCACCCCAGCCTAGACAGCTAGAGGAGTCGGGGTCCTGCGGGGGCGGGGTAGGTTGGGAGACCCCAGCACCCCCCACACACCCCCGCCCCGACCCCGCCCGAGATCTGGGCCGCGGCGGCGGCGCAGGGGCGGGGCAGGGCGTGGACACTGCGGCCGGGTCGCCCCCCACCCCCAGGCTTGCCCGTGAACTCGACCCCTCGGGCTGCCCGGGTGATGGCTTTCAGAAGTTCTTGCTCCTGACGCCCAGTCCAAACTGCTGCCGCCGCCTCCTCGTTCTCTGGCGCCCAGCCCGACCGGCCAGAGGGTTTATGTCCGATCCCCGGACCCCGTCTGGAAGGATCCTACTTCTTCCCTGAAAGAAAAAGCCAGCAACAGTCTGTTGGAGGCTGGGAAGGGTATTGGTTAGAGAGGAGGGCGACGTTTCTCTGGCCCTGTTCTAAGCTGCCAGTTAAAAATAGAAACCATTCATTGCGGTCAGCTGGGGGTAGCGCTGGGCTGAGGAGCCCCAAGTTCCCGAGGCACCAGAGCGGTATCAAACTATAATCAATCAATCCGCACGTATTTATTGCACGCCTACTTTGGATCCCGAGGGTCGCTTTCCGGAGCACGTGTGCGTTTAAGTAAAAGCGCACTCAAGGGTCCACAAGTCCTTCGTGGAGTGTGATTTGAGGCCTTGATTCCTTCGCACTAGGATGCAGCCCTTGGGGTGCTTTGACATGGGGGGCAGGGGAGACCCGAGTCCCTCCCGGGTGCTCCCTACCCGGGTCTGCTCCGCAGGCGCCCACCAGGACCCCTCCAGAGCACATCTCCCCAGGTCCTGCCTACCCTCGGGGCCACCCGTCACCTGGGCCACCCTGGCCTTCTTGGCTACTCCTGGGATTTGGGGGTGCAGCAAAGAACACGCAGCCGAGCCTCCGGTCCAGCCTGTGATCTGCCCTTGATCTCAGAGTTATTTTGCGGAAAATACACCACTCGAGACTGAAAACATCCGTCTGAAAAAGAGACAAAGGGGCAGACGGTGGGGAGGAGGAGGAAGAGAGAAGGTGCCGCAGAAAGGAAAGGGCCAGGACCGCGGGGGGGGGGGGGTGCCGTGCAGGGCCGGCTTCCTTTCCTCGCCAGCCGCCGGTGTGCACCGGGCACCCTCCCCTCTGCCGTGAAAACCCGACGCGGCCTCGCCGCATGCTAGACCTCCTGCCTGCTCGGGACTTCCAGGGACATCACAGAAACGGGAGAAGCGGATACCGATGCCAGTTATCATTGTGGTCATTAATAATGCAGTGAGGATCACGATAATTAATAATAATAATGATGGGCCTCCCGAGGGGGCTCCAGCTGCCTCCGGATAAAGCGACTCTCGCGTTCAGGGGAGCTATTCGGTGGTGCGTGGAGCGGAGCGCGAAGGGAGCAAGCTTGGGCGCTCAGAAGTTCAAGTTGACGGCGATTGACCGAAAAAAAAAAAACAAAAAACGGTCCTCTGGCCGCTGCGGTCCGGCCTCCCTGCAGGAGGGCAGCTCTGGTCCCGTCCCCGGAGGGAGGCGAAGACCCGCTTCAGTTAGGTGACTCTGGAGTGGGGGCTGGGGCCGGTTCGAATTCGGGTCCGTTCAGGCCGTGGGGGGTAAGAGGGAAGCCCGCACCCCCAGCCTCGGGCCCAGGCTCGGGCTGCGGCCTGGGGCTTGGGCCCCCAGCCCTGAGCACCTTCGAAGCTGGGCGTTTCTGACACCTTTCATACTCATTCTGTGGCCGGCTCCCACTTCCACCATCCTGCTTCCCAGGGCCGACCTCGAAGACCCGAGACCGGCCACAGCGTCGGGCTCCTGACTTGTTTGGAGAGAGCCGGGGGACGCAGCGCCAGAGAGCTGGAAGCCATGTTGCCGGGAATCTGCTCCCATCCGCTTCTCACGTCCGAGCGCCGAGGGGGACTAGAGCCGCTCCTCGCTGTGATCTTCCAGCCCATTTTTATTTCCTGCTGCAAAGTAGCATCAGCGCGCCCAGGCCCCACGGTGCCCCCCCCCCCCCCGCTGCTCTCCCACACTCAGGCCTGCAAAGCCACCGGCCCACTCCAGGCTGAGATCGTCCTCGTCTTACATTTTCCTTCTTCCCCCAAGTGACCAGCCCCAAAGCCTTGAGTCGATGCTCAAGTTGCCTGTCCCCAGCCTGTGCTTCTTAGATCCGGGGCGTCTCCACCCGCCCCCTCCCCCCCAAAAAAGTTTAAAACAATTCACATAGACAATCTCGTCCTTGCACAAGCTATGACGAATATTTAATCTGATTCCTTCCTCTCCCCCGGGTCCGTGGGGCTCTGGAACACTCTAAGCGATTTTCCTCACAGCTTATATATGTGTTCAATGAAATCTCCCAAGGATCAGTAACATATGCCAATTATTTTAATAATTTTACTTAATATTATTAGGGGTTATAAATTTGATTTTAATAGGGGGCTGATTGGTTCAGGAGCTGGCAGGGCCGCGGGGGAGGGCTAGCCCGGCGGCATCGGTCACCCTCTGGGACACAGAGGGGGTGGGGGTGGGGGGCTGGAGCATTTCCCTCCCCGTTGAATAGGTAGCGAGGCCTCCGGGAAGTCGGGATGCCGTTTCCCCCAGCGGCCCTCCAGCCCAGCCTAGCGCGCCCGCCCGGCCCTGGGCCCAGTGCGGAGCCCC